AATCTTAAACCCCACACCCTAAACCCTAAATCCCCTGTTGTTAGGGACCCAATATATAACCCCAAACCCAAAACCCCTAAACTCTGCGGACCCAATATAAAACCCCAAACCCTAAGCCCTAAATCCCCCTTTGAACCCTCAAACCTCCTCATCTTCCTCTCGACCGGACCGCATCATTTCAAAGATCTTCTGGCTCACAACCTCCGAGGCTTTAAGGGTCTAGGGTTTAGGGTGGCTTTAACATAGGAGCCATAATCAGTAGAATAGGGTCTTGGTAAAACATACTTGTACTTATAGTAAGGAACCCCGCCCAACAGAGCATTTAGGCCCCGATATTAGGTGGCTCCTTTACAGGGGAACCCCTATTTATAGAGCCTTTAAAGGAACTTTTAAGGATACCTTTAAGGCTTAAAGGGTTCCTTTGAGGCTTTAGGGTTTTGGCGCTTGAGGTGTTGAGTTAGGCTTCGGGTTTATATGGTACTTAATCCTTGGGGGTTACTATCGGGCTCGGAATAAGCGGAAGATTAATACCTTCAGGTTTACCTGTTTGGGATTAGGGGGTCCTTGGGGATATATTATAGAATCTCTCAGTAAGGTCTCCTTTCAGAGACCCATAAGCAGGGTTGAGAAGGGTCCCCGTTAAGGGGTCTCCCTAATACTACCCCATATTGTTGAAGTCATGGTACAGGCCGTTACATCAACGAGGAGGGACACCAAAATCTGGGTCCTCTAGCAGCACCTCTTAAAGATAAGGGTGCCCTTTAAGGCTTACTAGGATTGAGGTTAGGGCTTAGGTTTTGGGGATTCTGGTTTAAGGCTTCCGGTTGAAGTTTCGGCTTGGGAATGTGGCCTTTATTTAGTATACAGTTAGTTTTTTTTACTACTTCAGTGTTTGGAGGGCAACCTCAATCTACAAAGGGGCTGCGGCGGCTACGGGCGACCTAGTGTAGCGTCGGAGTTATGTCAGGTGCATTGGTGAGTCTAGGTTCGGGCTTGGTAACGGGATACTGGTAATTAGGTAAAACCCAAAACCCTGAACCTTCAGCCCCTAAACCCTAAACCCCAAACCGTAAGCCCCTAAACCCTAAACCTTAAGCCCCCAAACCCTAAATCCTACATGCTGTTTGGGGTTCAGAGGTGGACTTGGATTTGGGGATCTTCGTGTGCCAGGTCACTTCAAAGTACATGCATGGGGCCGTCTCCACCCGTCAACCTTGGCTCTACGGTTTAGGGTTTAGGGTTCAGGGTTTTTAAGGTTTAGGGTTTAGGGTTTAAGGTTTAGGGTCTACTCCTCTCAGAAGGTACTATAGGGGCCTTAATCATTAGAACAGGGTTTTGTGCCCCACTATACTATAATAATTATGGAACCCCCAAAATAGTGTTGGAAATTATTTGGGGCCCTATATTATGTAATCAAGAACTAGTTTTGACAAAACATCTTTTCACTGAACAGGCGGCGTAGCCCGAAGAACCTACAGCTTGTTCCAAACCCTCGTTTGTAATGCCCCATAAAACCTGACAGCCATGAACCGTCGAAAAACACCCTTGGAAAACCCTACAAACACCTATGACAATCACCTTTGTGCAACCCTTACAACAATCAAGTTTCAAAACAACACACCGGAAGCCGTAAACACCCAAAGGTGAATCAAAAGCCCGTAAACAAAACCTTATAGGATTCTTCTGAACACCGCCAGTAAACCACTGTAATGTAGGGCCCTTTAGAATTATAATTGGGTTTTGGGGCCCGATATACTATATTTATATCAAGGTACCCCCAAAATAGTGTTGGTAACTATATTTAGGCCCCTTTATTGACAACCCTGTTAGAATCATGCCCTTTGGAGGAATCCTCTCGTTACCTGCAAACAGTATCCCCTTGAGTTCCGTGGTAAGTTGTATGGAAGGAAGCCGCACAACCCTGTTCTGATATTCAGGCGCCTATAAAGCCTAAGCCCCAAACCCTAAATCCTAAACCCGTATAGAATCCCCGAACCCCTGAAGGGAACCTTACTCAAGAAAATACTGTTCGAACGTGCACTAGAAATCCCCTGGTAGAATGCCGTGTTTGGAACACTCCAAAGTTTGAAGAACGCCCTATTCTATTTTTTGGTAACTGTCAAAATCACGGTCCTTTTGGGGAACCCTATATAATTCTACTCTTGATACGGCACCCCAGAGTTTGGTAACCCCAAAAGAGACCCTAGTTTAGAGAAGTACCGCTTCTTATTCCTTAAAGAATGCGGGATACCCTAAACCCTAAACCCTGAAACCCCTTCTTATTCCTTCAAGGATGCATGAAACCGGGCCTCCTGAGCAGTAAGCGTCCAGCCGACGCGAGCTGCTGGGACGCCAAAATGCTGAGCGAGGCTTTGTGTTTGGCTTTGAAGGCCTTTACAACCCTTTAATACGGCTGATGGACAAAATCCGGCATGACCTTACATATATAACTATGGGATTTATGGTACTATACTATATTTGGATCATGCAGAATTTTGTCCATCAACAGTATCCCTAATTAGGCTCCATGTACCCAAGTAGTATATACTTTGGGCCCAAAGTACATATATAGGGACTACTCTCAGGCCAAAGTATAGGATCCTGAATAAGGGATGCTTTCAGAAGGGATCCTTTAAGAATGGATCCTTGGATAAGGGGGGGCCCTTGAAGAAGGAATCCGTTAATCGCTCCTTTACCGGACTATTTAGGAAACCAAACTACGGGTACCATACATGTTAGGCTTTCGGGTTTAGGGTCCAGGGTTTGTTGGGCGCTGTCTGACCCTAAACCCTAAACCTATGGGCTCTAAGAGGATTGTCATCGAGGGTCGTGCAGTAGGCTTCGAAGGCTTCGTTCCTAGGAACACTTTTAAGGGAGTGAAATCGGTTCCATGCTAAAGCGGGCTCTATATGAGCTTGAAGAGCGAGTTGAGAGGATTCTATCCGGGGGCTATCGGGTCTTTGAACAGGAACGAGGGTTGTACAGTGGCGTATCTTTCATGTTTCAGCAGTTGTCCTCTTGCTTCACAGGGCTTTACGAGTATGAGATAACACAGGGCTTCTCGTGAAAATTACCAAAGCTGAATGGGATTATCTGGAGACACAAAAATCATACGCTTCTAAATCCAAGCAGACAACACGATACAATACTTCTCGCACTGCTACGAGACCCTTAGAAAACCCCCCAAGCCCCCTGAAAACAACCTTCTCCTACATTTGGTAGAAGGCGTTATAAAACTCCAAACCCTGAACACAACATAATCTCTGGGCCCTCATAGCTGGAACACTGCTTTGGTGTTGAATATCTTATGCGAAGAAACCCTATGGAATGGTATTGCTATGTATTACTAACCCTAAACCCTAACCCTTCGCATCAAAATCGCCCAAAAGCCTTATATAATAGGGTCTTTTTTGGGCCCAAAAGCCTTCAAACATGAGTCCTTTGAGGGTAAGGGCAAACCCTATAAACCCTTTACCGATGTCTTCCGGATTATATATGGGAGTTTCCGACAATAAGGGGGTACCTTATTTTGGGGTCCTTATAATAGGGATCCTACTATTTAGGGTACTATTTTGGGGTCCCCTAAATGATTACTATACATGAATGACGATGTATTACCGATTAACCCTAAGCCCTAAACCCAGAAACCCTGAGCCGATGTCTTCCGGCCCCTTGAATTTACATGGACCAACCCTAAACCCCTAGACCCTAGACCCTAAACCCTAAACCCCTAAACCCTAAACCCTAAACCCTAAAACCCTAAACCCCACCTCCAGTCGCCGGTGAAGATTGATGGCAGCTGCGTGGCTCTGCGTCACCGCCAGGACGCGCTGATCCTTCCCAGAAACTTTGGAGTTCGGGGTTTAGGGTTTTAAAAACGTTATGGGGTTTAGGGGTTTAGGGTTTTATAAACGTTATGGGGCTTAGGGGTTTAGGGCTTTACAATCGTTATGGGGTTTAGGGGTTTAGGGTTGTGTAAACGTTATGGGGTTTAGGGGTTTAGGGTTTTATAAACGTGTTGGGGTTTAGGGGTTTAGGGTTTAGGGCTTTAGGGCTTTAGGGTTTTAGGGTTAAGGGCTTTAGGGCTTTAGGGTTTAGGGTTTAGGGTTTAGAGCTTTACGGGTTTAGGGTTTAGGGTTTCGAGTTTTGGGTTTAAGGTTTAAGGTTTAGGGTTTATGGTTTAGAATTAGAAAAGTACGGCTTAGGGCTACTTTAGGGGCCTCCACGATCGGAATGGGGTTTTGAAGTGCATAATAGTCTGTTAATTCTCGTATAATTACCCCTAGGTTTGGGGCTACAAGCACTTGGTTGGGAGGTGCTCGACAACGCACAAACTTCCATGCGGCCACAGTCAATTGTTCTGCAATGCCGCGATCTATGGTCGGGCCACTGACAAATTCTTCGATGATTTCAGCTTCAGTGCCCGCTTGGCAGTTGCTTAGTACTTGCATGAGCAGTGCTTCCAGCATTGGTACTGCCAATGTATTCGGCGCGATGTCTGGACTCGCGACTTGACCCCTCTGACTCGCAGCAACTCTTCTCGCCTCAATGACTTTCGGAGCAGTATTGGCACCAGCTTGCCAAAGCATGCCACGAGAGGCAGCGCGAAGGTTCTGGCCCAGTCTTGATCGAAACTGTGACAATGAAAACAGTTTTTCGATCGGGCAACCTATGCGCACAGGATCGCCTCCCTTCTTGCGCAATGATTTCTTTGATCGCAGATAGTTGATGCGGACTCCGGCCCCTCTCCAGAGGGCGGCCTGGAATGACTCTTTCACGTCCGCAGCATTGATCAAAGACTCCCCGATATGTGTGATAGAGCCGCCATTTTCTGCTGCAATTCGGACCAATTTGAAGATCTGTGCATCCCAGGCAGAGGATTGAGAGGAACGTCTTTGAACAACCTGACCCATCCGTCTTCTTCAGCTTGAGTCATTACCTCTTACCGCGCTCCTCGCGACATGCAAGCCTAAAAACCCTAAAAGATAAACCCTAAACCCCTAAACCCCTAAACCCCTAAACCCTACCCCCTAAATCCCTAAACCCTACACCCTAAAGCCCTAAACCTTAAACCCTTACTCTAGCGCTCCATGTACCCATATTAGTAAGTACTTAAGCCTTAAAGTACCTATATAGAGACCCCTTTAAGGCCTCAAAATCCACTATAAAGGTATATGGAGCCTTTGGGTAAACCCTACACCATGAACCCCTAAACCCTAAACTCTAAACCCCTAAACCCCTAAACCCTACACCCTAAAGCCCCTAAGAAGGGGATCGGGAGCTCGGAGAGTCCTTCGTGAACTTCGCGGAGACGGCCAGGGCCATTGCGGCCGCAACATGTGTCTTCCCCGTGCCTTCGGTTTGGGATTTCGGGTTTAGGGTTTAGGGTTTAGGGTTTTAGGGTTTCGGGTTTAGGGTTTGGGGTTTGGGGTTTAGGGTTTAGGGTTTAGTGTTCCGGGTTTAGGGTTTAGGGTTTAAGCTTTGCTCTGGGCTTTCTATACAGAATGTAGGGGCCTTAACAATCAGAATAATAGGGTTAGGGGTATATGATACTATAGTTAGAATAAGGAACCCCTCAAAGTAGTCTAGTTAAGTATGAAGGCCCCTACAAAAAAGCAAAGGCTTTTGGTTTTTTGGGGGGCCTTGGGGCTAGTGATTTTTAGTTTGGAGCTCGGCGCCTAAAATCCTACACACTTGCAGGCGCAGCTCGTAAAAAAAAACCGTGCAAACCACCCTGACACGAATCCGACACTGCCCTTGCAGGTTTTCGGGTTTAATTAGGGTTTAAGGGTTTAGGGTTTAGGGCTTAGGGGTTTAGGGCTTAGGGGTTTAGGGGTTTAGGGCTTAGGGGTTTAGGGGTTAAGGTTTTAGGGCTTAAGGAAACCCCAAAAACAGACCTACAGATCTGCTCGGACCCTACACGCACAGAACCTTGAACCCCAACAGCACAACCACAAGACCCGGAACTCGAAACGCCTGCACCCCCCTTACCCTTCGGAATAGTAGGCTCTGAAGCCTTACCTGTAGTCGAAGGACTTGCCTTTTTCGGTTCCTTGTTATGGTTCTTGTACAAACTGCGTTTAACAGGTAGGTTTTCTGGGTCACAGGAAATTGGAATGAAAGTCAAACCCTCGATGCAGTAGGGTTTGGGGTCGTCAGGAAAAAACGAATCGATGCAAACCCAACCTCCTAGACTCTAACACCTCTCCATTATGCAGATCTTCCAAGATCGGTTAGTTAAAGGAATGTGCCTTAAATTCTCGTAGGATCCCTGATACGGCGTAATGCCTATTCCGGTTCATTGATTTGGCACATCGGAATATCTGGGCACCCTACCCTAAGTCCCAAACCAAAAACCCCTGAACCCTAAACCCTAAATCCCAAACCCAAAACCCCTAAACCTAAACCCTAAACCCTAAACCCTAAATCCCCGGACACTAAAATCCCAAACCCAAAACACAAGACCCCCAAACCCACAGCCGGAGTCGATGGCGATGTCGCCTGGAGGTCCCCGCACGAGGCTGATCCGGCGAGACCTGGGGAGACATGGTCGAGGGTATGGGGGTTTAGGGTTTAGGGTTTAGGGTTTAGGGTTTAGGGTTTAGGGTTTAGGGTTTAGGGTTTAGGGTTTAGGGCTTCAGGTTTAGGGTTTAGGGTTTAGGCCTTAACAATTAGAATAGGGCTTTGGGGTTCCTTATTGTAATTATGGCATAAATATACCCCAAAACCCTATTCTAATTATCATAAAGCCCCGATATCTATGGGTAAAACCACCTAAACCATAAGCCATTCTGGCAAGCCCTAAACCCTAAACCCTAAACCCGCCCAGTCACTAAGCGCGAATCAGGTTTTCCAGGTTAGGAAGACACCGACCCATGGTTCTCTTGTGAAGGAGGGTTAGGGTTTAGGGTTTAGGGTTTAGGGTTTAGGGTTCAGGGTTTAGGGTTTAGGGTTTAGGGTTTGGAGGGGAGTTTCAAAAAGGGGTGATCTATGAGGCGCTCAGGAACTCAATGTAAATGTTTAAGTAATGACCGCAATCGTGGTTTGTAGCCAGTAGTAACCTTTCTTCATGATGTCATAGTATTGCTAAACTAAGTTCCTGCGCAAGAACCCGGTAGGGTCACTCATCTACACCCAAAGCCCAACGCCCCAAACCCTTCGCCAGAATATTTTTGAACTTTCACCACTATTGTTATGATTAAATCAAAATTACTACTACGATTAGTCTTAGCACTATCATTGCTCTGATCCGGACATTCACAAGAGAGACCCCATGCCTAGGACGTCCGGCCGTGCGGCTCTGCTACCTAACCCCTAAACCCTAAAACCCTAAAACCCTAAAACCCTACAACCCTAAAGCCCTAAACCCTAAACCCTAAACCCTAAAACCCTAAAACCCTAAACCCTAAAACCCTAAAAACTTAAAACCCTAAAACCCAAAAACCTTAAACCGTGGCTCAGGAATAATAATTTCGGTTTTGGGACTCAGCGGTTTCAAGGCATGGGACTCCTGCAACTAAGGTTACAGGACTCATTGCTGCAAAAGTGCTAGGAAACATGGTAACCAAGTTTTAAGGCGTAACTGGGGAGCACGTCACGCCTGAAGCCCATGCCCAGAAACTGACAAGTCTATCCTGACCTTCGTCACTTCGATTTTCGACCCAGTACATGCCTTCAGGATCGACCAAAACCGATCTTTGAGCAATACTGTGGCCCCAAACCCACCTCATGGGCCCCTTGTTGAGAAATCTGATGTTAAGATAATGTGATAAAGACCGAGCATTAGCCTTCAATCCTCATTAATCTGTAACAAAAAGTGCCAAGGCACATTACGAGACATTTTAGTATCATTGGCTCAGGGTTGTGTTCTTCAGAGTTTAAGGTTTCCGGTTTCGGGCATAGGGGAGGGTTGGGTGATTAGGCTTTTGCGGTTGAAAGCTTGGCGTTTCGGCTAAGCTGCCGCCAGAATGGAGATGGGTATGTATGTACCATAACACACGTATGTATGTATGCATGTATGTATGTATGTATGTATGTATGTATGTATATGTATATGTATGTGTATATATGTACATATGTACATATGTATATGTATATGTATATATGTGTATATGTATATGTATGTATATGTATGTGTGTGTGTGCGTGTATGTATGTACGTACGTACATACGTAGGGATGGATGGATGGATGGATGGATGGATGGATGGATGGATGGATGGATGGATGGATGTGTGTATATATATATATATACATATGTGATTTTATATATGCATATGAGAGTGTGTGTGTGTGTG